TTTTTTTGTGCGTGAGTGTCCGTGATGTCACCCGTGTGTTTATGAAGAAGCCCAAAGTGGGCGGAGCCGGCCGTCGCCGTCTTGGTAATTAGCTGAGGTGGCGTGATGCCAACACACAGCAGACAAACGGCTAGTAGTGACATCAGCGGCAATCCACCTGTCAATCAAGTGGACACGCCCTTAATTATTATTCTAATCTAAACGGATGAGTTGTAAAAATATTCACCCCCCTCACAGTCGTCATGAAGGGCAAAATTAGCAATATAGACCAAAACCACTTTTTGCACAAGGCCTATGGGGGTCTATGGGATTGACTCTCTTCTGCAGCGCCTCTAGTGGCCAGTGGAGGAACTGCAGTTTAACTCAGTGTTGGATTCAAGAGAGAGAAGTTGAATGGTCGAAGGTTGCTACTTGTATGTATTAACGTAGCGTTTATTTGATCTGGTTACCTACTTTACTGTTCTAGTTACGTGTGTCAGGTCTAGTTTATCAACAAAATGAATACTTTTATTTAGCAAGGATGCATTAAGGCGAGACACGGCAGGAAAAAACATTGATTTTTCATGCAGAGATCCTGTAGTTTACTCATTCAATATGTGTTATTTCAAGCTGCTATAAAGAAAACGTTGAGAATATACATTTAGATGTTTATTTCATTACATTTAGTTTATTTTCACTACGTAATTGTCTCCCGAATTTAGCAAGAAGTTATAGCATTTCAACGCGTCACGCCGCGCTCCGCCAAGTCTGTCATGGCCATTTCCTTTCTACCAGTAACCAATCGTGAATGTCCAAAGGTGCCTAATTTGCATAATTAAACAAATTTCAAAAACGTATAATACATTTTTTATATATACTTGTGTAAGTAATCTACTGAGGAAGTTTCATGGTGATATCTATTATTTAAAAATTGTACCGTGTCTCGCCTTAAACTGATCAGAGAGAGAGAGGAAGAAACTTTTATAAGGATACAAAAGATTTACATTTCCAATAAATGCTGTTCTTTTTATCTTTCTATTCATTAAAGAATTCTGGGGGGAAAAAAAAACGTATCGCTGTTTCCACAGAAATATGAAGCAGCTCAACTGTTTTCAACATTGATAATAATACAGGAATAAATCACATTTAGCTATATATTCACATAGCTATTTTAAATTGTAATATATTACATTTGCCCAACATAAGAGACATATTTCAAAAGCCTGAAAACAATCTTGCTGATCCTGATTGGTAGTGTAGGTTTACAGTTAAGTGTGCTAAATGGTTAATTCAACCCGATCTCACGACCAAGTCGTACGGATTCGACGAATGATTAAAAAGTGGCTAATTCGTAACAATTCATACGACCTCACTCGTACGAATTAATACGATTTTGCTAAATCGTACATATTTTACGAATTGGCCAATTCGTATGAATTCGTACGAATGACCTACCCCTGACCCCGCCCCTAAACCTAACCATCACGTGGGTTTAGACAAATCGTACGAATTAGTACGAGTGAGGTCGTACGAATTAGACACTTTTTAATCATGCGTCGAATTCGTACTCGAATTGGTCGTGAGATAGTGTTGGTTAATTGGTTACACATTCAGATATATTTTAACCACTGTCATTATCGTATTTTAAATCACACAAAAAAAATAAATAAATAAAAATAAATCAAACAAAAAAAAAATATTTAAATAGCTCGTTTACAACTTGATTATTATCTAAAGTAAATGCTCCAATTTAAGGAACATTATCAGTCTGTATCATCAGTAGAGTGCAGATGCTCTCGAAATTATGAGCTGTTGTAAAAACATAAATTCATTTGGACATTGAACTGGAAATATTCCGCATAACATCTGCATGGGTGTTTGCTTACCACACACACACACACACACACAAGATTTTCCATTCATAATTAGATGGGGTGTCAGTCTTATCCACATCAGCAAAAACACATTCAGTTTCTACTGATTCATCAGACGATCACTTCAGAAAGCAACTTCTCACTTCCTCTCAGCTGGGCCATTTTGCTACACAAAAGTCCGGATACATTTACACTTTGCAGGAATCATCTCACTTCCAGGGTTCAAGGTCAGTGTCCCTTTGTGAAGGAGGACCTCTAGGGAATCCAAATTCAGTCGGCATGTGTTCTCTCACTGTCACCGCTGAATCGATTCGGCCACCGCAGATCCGCTGGGAGTCGAACGGGTCACGGGCTTCCCTGTGCCACGGCCATTTAGTGCTCTTAAAAACATCCCCTCCCACCGAGATTAAACCCGGAAGGCTCAGATATAAAAACCAGACCAGTGCAAGAATGACTCCATCTTCCACTTATAGATCTCAGAGAGATGCTCACTTTTTAAATATAAAGTTATTTTTTTTTAAGCATTGTTCCTGCTGTTTCGGATGCTTAAAGGGACACTCCACCCATTTGCATTAAAGGAGTAGTTCACCTTTAAAAAAAACTTGCTGATTATTTACTCACCCCCATGTCATCCAAGATGTCCATCTTCAGTCGAAAAGAAATTAAGGTTTTTGATTAAAACATTCCAGGATTTTCTCCATATAATGGACTTCAATGGGAACCAAATGAGAGAATCGAGGTCACTGCCCTGAAGAGTCAAACACAAACTGGAAAGGTTCAATGAAAAGTTTGAACAGCTCTTCAAGAACAGCATTGTTAAAGGAGTTCACTTTTTTTAAAAAAACTTTTACTGATTATTTACTCGCCCCCATGTTGGTCATCCAAGATGTCCACATCTTTCTTTCTTCAGTCGAAAAGAAATTAAGGTTTTTGATTAAAACATTCCAGGATTTTCTCCATATAATGGACTTCAATGGGAACCAAATGAGAGTTTCAGTGCAGCTTCAAAGGGCTTTAAACGACACCAGACTATGAATAAGGGTCTTATCTATGACCCTTCGAATCATGGCTCGAAAAAAGATTCGTTCATTTTGATGAACAGGGGAGTCACGAAAGTGCATCACAGAACAGAGCAAGGCGAGCATTTGAGCTTATAAAACTTAAACTTTGTTATTTATTTATTAAATGAGCGATCGTTTCGCTTGATAAGACCCTTATTCATCGTCTGGAATCGTTTAAAGCCCTTTGAACAGTTTGCAGTTTGCACTGAAACTGTCTTTTGGACCTTGAACTGTTTTGGTTCCCATTGAAGTCCATTATATGGAGAAAAATCCTGGAATGATTTTCATCAAAAACCTTACTTTCTTTTCGACTGAAGAAAGAAAGACGTGGACATCTTGGATGACGTGGGGGTGAGTAAATAATCAGCACGTTTTTTTTTTTTTTTTCAAAAATGAACAACTCCTTTAATGCATTATCTAACATTAACTAATGGGTTTATACGTTAAGTGATAAGGCACTTGACGTCGAACACCAAAAATTCACACAAGTTAATTTTGTGAGGTTTGGTGAAGATTGGGTTGCAGAAAGACGGACCTCACAAAACTGATAACCATATTATTCTACACGCAAACTTGTTTTCAGGCTCCATTATTGAATCAAATACTGTGATGTGTTTCAGTGTAGCATTGCCAAATCCTTTGACTAGCGTGAACAGCCACGGGAATTAACCGCGAGTTGTTCCTCTCCAGAGTGTGCAGTGGATGACGGCTGTGGAGATTTGCTCCATTGAGGTCAGGCATGATGTTGGGAGTCGAGGTCTGGCGCTACAATTCATCCTCAAGCTTCTCAGTGGGGGTTTATTCTGGTCTTTATGCAGGCCAGTCGAGTTCACACTAGACCCTATAAGCCATTTCTTTATGGTCTTGGCTTTGTGCACTGGGGCATTATCGTGCTGGAGAAGGCTGTTCGCTGGTTTGTAAGGAGTGTTACTGAAATAGCCAGACATGTTAATTAAAAGATATCCACATACTTTTGGCCATGTATTCAACGGATAATTCCACCGGTGGAGACATGAATATGTATTGAAAGTGGGTCATATATGTAGTAGAATAGTATCATAACTTTCTAATTTGGGTCCTTCTTGGCCGATAAAAGGCAGAAAATGACTTTTTAGTGCTTGTGGATTGTAGACAACAATCCCCATAGTGCATTGCAATGCTCAGCTCCAAATGACTCGGAAAAAGATTCGTTCATTTTGATGAACAGGAGAGTCACAAACGTGCATCACAGAACAGAGCAAGGCGAGCATTTGAGCTTATAAAACTTAAACTTTGTTATTTATTTATTAATTGAGCGATCGTTTCGCTTGATAAGACCCTTATTCATCGTCTGAAATCGTTTAAAGCCATTTGAACAGTTTGCACTGAAACGCTCATTTGGACCTTGAACCGTTTGGTTCCCATTGAAGTCCATTATATGGAAACAAATCCTGGAATGTTTTCATCAAAAACCTTAATTTCTTTTCGTCTGAAGAAAGAAAGACAAGGATATCTTGGATGACATGGGGGTGAGTACATTATCAGGAATTTTTTTTTTTTTTTTTTTTTTTTTTTTTTTAAGTGAACTACTCCTTTAACTCTTTCCCCACAGGATTGATCATCATTCTGAATCAGATTATCGGACAAAAACATGATATTCTCGTTTTACATTTTTTCTGTGAAACTCACCGACATTCAAGTGTTGATTATGAAAGAATGCACGCTTTATTAAAGCAGAGGGTCTGTTCTTTAGAAATATTGCATGTTCAGGTATTCAAACAACTGAATATTCTAGTAGCGGCCATGAAACGTCGCCTCACCGAATTGTCAATACAACTCAATACCTTGGTCATTCTGCATCTGGGTCTTCGTTCCCTTCACAGGTAATTCAAGATTCCAGTCATTATCTATAAAATGATCCGTGCATATTTTTGTACGTATCATTGACACAATGCTCTGATGATCCCATGCATGGCGTCCGGGTTTGGGCTTCATCCGCATAATTGCTGCCCTTGCCCTCCCTCACAGGGGAAAACACAAACATTCAGCAACAGACCTGTAGATAAGACTGAATGTCAGCATGGCATCACGACAGGACTTGACTGACCTTCTGAGAAGTTGACCCAGCATTCTGAAGTCTTTCTGCCCGTCCATTTTCTCCTCTCTTCAGGGTGCGCTGACACCAAGTCACTGAGTTACAGCAGCCATCGAGACGTCGGCTCTGATACACCAATCTTTCTGTGGGAAAGAGAGAAAGCACCCATACAGATGAAGACGAAATGACTGTCAAGGCACTGGAGCAGTGTTTCATGTTCATATATTACACAGCTAAGGGTAATTGATTACATTCAGGACACAAACAGAAAGTGAGTGCAGAGAAACTCCGGATTGTTCTTCATTCATCAGATCTGTCTCGTGAAATGACAGGCTTCCCTCGGCTCCTTCGGTTGGCCACTGAGTAATTGGCATGTTTTGGTGCTAATGGTGGAGTTACCATGTTCAGGAGAGACCAAATTACCATTCATTAAAGTCGAATAACACAAACAGAGAGAAAAGCGGCATGGATTTCTGAACTGGTAAAATTGGGTGTAATTACAACGAATGTTAAAAAAAAGCCGCACAATTGTCAATTATTTCCCTTGATACTGTAATCAGTCTTGTGTTCACAAAAGAAAATTTGCATATAAATGGAGGCTGTAAATTTAACATGTTCATTTAGTGTTATTAATTATTTATTAAAAATAATATTTCCCCAAATTAATGCAATTAATCATATTCTCCTGACTCAAATGCACATGTAAAGTGTCTAGATTGAGTGTAATGGAATAGGTATATAAATAAAGGTAACACTTTAGTTTAGGGTTCAATCCTCACTCTTAACTAGTTGTGTATTAGCATGCATTGGTATTAGATAATTAGGTAATTAGGAGTTTACTGAGGCAAAAGTCGTAGTTAACTGTGAGAATTGGACCCTAAAATGTGAGCAAAATATAATTGTTTTAAACTCCCTTTAGTTTAGGGAAAGCAATATTTTATTTTTGAAAACTTTTATTCTTCAAACACACATTAAATTGAACAGTAAAGGCATTTATAAAGTTATAAAAGCTTTAAATAAATGCTCATAAATTCAAAAAATCCTGAAAAATAAAATCACTGCTGCCACATAAATATGATACAGCAAAAAAAATAAAAAAAAAAATAAATAATAATAAAAAAAAAAAAATCAACATTGATCATAAATAGTTCTTGAGCAGCAAATCAGCATATTAGAGTGATTTCTGAAGGATCATGTGACACTAAAGACTGTAATGTAATCTAGTGATGAACATTCAGCTTTGATCGCAGGACTAAATTACATTTTACCCCTTTGTGTATGTATATATATATATATATATATATATATATATATATATATAATATATTATATATATTAATCACACCCAAAATAAAAGTTTATTATAGTAATAGTATAATTAGTATTAGTACTGCATATAATTATTTTGTATATATAAATACACACACATGCATATATATATAGTTAAGAAATATGTATTGCATGTATCTTTGTAAAAAATTGAATATTATTTATAAATATTAATATTTTATATATAAATAAAAAAATATCTTAAATATACATGCATGTGTGTGTATTTATATATACACAGTAATTATACGCAGTACTAGTATTATGTAAACGCAAACTTTTATTTTGGATGTGATTAATCGCGATTAATTGTTGCCCAGCACTATATATACATTAAACTGGAATAATATTTCACAATATATACCGTTTTTTTTTTCTGTATTTTTGATTGCCTTTTCAAAGATTTACTCAACAATGCAGTCAGATTATATTTAATTAGAGGGATTTCAGCTGCAAATATTGATAAATGTGATTATTTGTGATTCATTTGATTAATGAATTGCCGTTTCATGTAATTAATCCGATTAAAAGTTTTAATCTTTTGAAAGCTCTAATTAAACAATGAGTATATCAAGACATCATCTAAACAGTGACCTTCACATTGGCCCTCTGGGCAGCACGAAAAACACAAATCCAATTATGGCCAGAAACTGAGCAACGCGACGCTAGCATACTGGCGCTCGCAACCATTAAACCCCCTGATGCTGTCGCTGCACGTGTGCGCAGTTTGAGCGCTGCAGTTCAGTGTGAGTTCAGTGAGTTCTCCCCTTATAATCTACATCGCTGTCTCTGCTGCACAGTAAATATCTCATTTACACCTCGCTTTATTGGCTGTTAAACCGCCGGCACTGAGAGCGAGCGGCACGGCGTGTAACAAATCCAAAAAAATTCCAAACAACCAATGGTTGATTTATCTTTGGGTCAGGTGATGTTGCGTCAGCATCTCGGTTTCACGTGCCACCGCTGACTGATGTGGAAACGCAGATGTGTGGATCAGATTGCTTATAAATCACTCATTAAGGACCAGATGCTATGCTTTGCATGTCTGTGATTGGTTATAATTCTCAAAGTCTGCAAAACATGCAATTTAGGCTTATTAGAAAAAAAAAAACATTTGCAAAAGTCCACAAATTATGACTATGGGCAGATTATTGATTAATAGACACATTTCATGTGGTTCTATGAATAATTGTACTGTATGTTATGATCGCAATACACATTTACCATAGTGCATGATTTGTAAATCTTTACGTCATATAATCAGCCACACATATCGCTTTTTTTCTGATGTACACGGTAAAAAGGCTGCTTACAGTAAAAGTGTTTACAGTATCAGTACTGTGATTTTATTTACAGTAATACAATCGTATTCTGTATTAATATTTACAGTATGAGTATTGTATTTTTCATTTACAGTACAAGTACCATATTTTAATTTACAGGAATAATACTGTATATTGTATTCATGAGTACAACTACTGTATTTTTATTTACAGTATTATAATTTTCCTATAACATAATTAGATTTTTTTTTACGATTTACGTAAAAAATATAACTACAGTAGTGAACACATATTTTCCCATAATCCTTGGCTTTTTACAGTATTATACAGTCCATATTACAGTAAAATACTGTTAAAATTACAAAAATGCAATACAGTAGGGAATTTTCTTTTTTTTATCAATGTATGATTTAAATTCTACTACTGTATGTTGGAAAATAACCATGTATATATTTTCTTGAGGCATTTATGTTTTGACCAACATGCATAACAGAATAAAGTTTAGAATAAAGACAATCATGACACAGATCGGAAAACTGTTCACATATTAGCAAAGGAACAATCCAAAGATAGATAGACAGTCCATCCAAAAGCAGCGCAAATGTTTAGACGTTAAATTTGCAATGTGCAAGGGAAATGCTGTGCATTTGAATATTCCCTATTAAGGGGTATTATTATTATTATTATTTTCCCAAGAAAATATGGTTTCATTAAAGCCAACGGGAGCTGTAGGGTCACATTGGCAAATCTGCTTGACTGCGGTTGTGTAAGCCTTGAAATTCAAAAGCTGAAGCAAAATCCTCTTTGAGCACCTCGGGGACTGGAGCTGAGGAGACGAGAAACCTTCAAAAATCACTTCGTTTGCCATTTCTATCAGCATCTGACTTCCTGACCTCTGAATAAAATGAAGAAACGCTCTCTTGTACGCTTATATTTAATTATCTAATGTAGAGAGTTACTGAATGAAGGAACGCTCTGGTCTCTGGTCGTTAAGTAAAAGTAACGACCAGGACATACAGTTTAATTTCAAGGATGTCGTTTTATGTTAATTGTACAAGATTTGGTAACTCTTTACTTGAAGGGGTGTGCAAAAGACACAGGAGGGTTTATGCATGTTTATGACAACTGTCATTAAGTGTCATTCGCTCAATTATGACATTTTAAAAGCAAATATGACATCGTTTGAGATGACAACACATAAACCAATACATCATAACCTGTCAGTGTCTTTGTCATGACAACTTGACATTAAAATGAAGTTAAACTGTCATTGGCTGTCATGAGGCATTATAACTGTGTCAGTATTTCTCGTGAGCTCAACTACAGTGGTACTAATTGAATTTGTCATTAAAAAGTTATAAAAGTCAAAACCAACCACCTGACAGTTTAATGTAATGTTAACCAATAAAGCTAGCTGTTTTTTTTTAAAGTTTGATCATTAATCTGCTGTCATGTTTATGACAGGTTGTGTTGTTGTCTTAGTTGTAATGACAAAGACACTGACAGGTTATGATGTATTGGTTTATGTCAAGGTGTCATAACAAAGACATCTCAAACAATGTCATATTTGCATTAAAAATGTCATAACTGAGCGAATGACAGTCACAAACATACAAAAACATGTGTCATGTCATGATTATGAAGGTGTCATGTCAGTCTTATGCACATCCCTTCAAGTAAAGTATTATTTATAATGTTGAAAATGTAAGCATTTAAAACAAAGACACACGTAACTATAAGTTTCGGTTATATAACTGGATACCTTTCTGGTGGTTTGAACAAATAGACTTATTCGTGTTTCCTTCAAACATCCCTGGTTTTCTTCCCCGTCATTAGTTCTGCAGATTGCAAATGAGTCACATCTAAGAAAATGCCAAACTTTCATCAGACGCAGCAACTGAGCCGAGAAGCGTCACCTCACACACACACGTTCACAGCATTGCTTAACTTCTCAGGCATGACATCAAGGATTCGCTTCGTATAAAATCGTTCTATTCTAGTAAAAGCGAAACGCTCGTCTAAATAAGTCCAATCTGGCAACCTGAGCGAAGGAATGCGATCGGCATCAGCACTTCTCCAAACGCCTGCTGTCTACGCTTTTACAGCGAGTGTGTGTGTGTGTCAGATCTCTACCCAAACATGTTGTTAACGATCTAACTCAAGCATTCTTCTGTGATTTAACATAACACGTAACCACACCATATTTACATTTACTTATTTCATTGCTTTGTTGCTTGTGCATATCACAAAATGCTTTTATGAAACAAACACTGTAGATTACAAAACACATTCGCAAAGAAACACACACTAGAGTCATAGACATTTTACAAGGCACCAGTTTAAACTAATTATTTTGTGTATGTGTGTGTGTGTGTGTCCTCTCTGCTTTCAACTTTAAAACCTGCCTTCTCATGTTTGGACACTGCAAGCAGTCAAACCTATTTAGACTTCATATAAAATGTAAGAATGAAACAAAAAATGTAACAAAACCAAACAACTAGAATGTGCAAATTTCCTCCCATCTCATATTT